ATCGGGTTTTGTTTTGATACGCATTTTTCAACAATTTTAACTAATTTGAATATTTTTTATTCAAATTTTTCAATTTCAATATTAGTTTGACAGTTCATTGTCCCAGTTGCGAATACCTGTAATCTTCTACCATTGTTTAAATTATTCCCTTCCTGAACGATACAACTCTTATACTGAATTTTGCGATATTCTATTGGCATTCCCCAAACCACACAGTCTTGTTCCTTGTCAGTATATATCATGTTTTGTTTTTTTTCCAATATCTATTAATTTTTATTCCATTATACACCTTTAGCGATCCATCACAATCGATTAAATAATTCCAGCTTCTGATATGGTTGCTTAAAAATAAATTTAATTAATTGACAGCTTAGCTCATTAAACGATTTGGGGAGTGCGGAGGAGGTCGTACCAATTATCCGCCATTATCAACAACAAGAACAACAACACCAGTTTTTCATGAATACTGAAACAGCATTTTTTCCGCTCATGAATGTTAACTAAAATCAAATTTGAATTGACTTCATGTTCATCCATCCAAGCGACCATCTACCACGCCATGAATATGAACAGCAGCAGCAACAACACCAATAAAACCAACAAGAAGAACATTATCGAAACCGTTAGGTCAGTACATCCAGCCAAAGTCATGATGGCTGGGGAAAAAATGAAATTAAATTTAAAATAACAACGTTGGCACAAAAAAAAAATCCACTTAATTTGGGGTACTACAGCAACAACAGCAACCCGCCAAGTCTGGGCACTAACCTAGTCGGTACTGCATTCTGACTGCTGCAAATGTTGATGGCCTGGTTAACGTTTTTTTTTTTTTTTTTTGCTACGTTAGGATATTGCAAACAAACACACATGCAAATAAAGAGGAACGAAAATGTGGGGTGGATTGGAGAATGTTGTTCATTCCAATTCGAAATCCAGGGAGTAGTAATGCTCTGATTCAGAACCTGCAAAAATCTACTACTTTTGCAATTTTTTTCGATATTATAATGTGAAAATGGGTTGTCGCAGTAAAAACTTTTACATTTTTGCAGTTCTGGAACAGATCATAAGTTCACAATTTTCCATTTTTTGAATGATTTTTAGCATAGATGTTTGTTATAGTCCGGATATCTTTGGTATTGAAAAAGGGATTTATAGGTCCACAAATGGTAACAGATCAACGCTTGGGAACATTTATATGTCAAAAAATTTAAAATGTTCTTTCAAATATAAGTAGATTTTTATATGTTTTCTTATACGACGTCATTCGGAGGCTATTATAATTTGTGTTTTTCAACAATTTTTAGAAATTAAAATAGTTTTTCATTCAACATATTCAATTCTTGACAGTTCATTGTTCCAGCAGCTGTGTCGATGCGTCTACCTATATTCTTCTACCATGGGTCCACACTTGGATATAGCCCCCATATAAAGATTCCCCCTGAAGAAAATGACAACCTGCGTCCACTTTGTTATAGTTTCCAAACAATTTCCAACTAAATCATCTGTATGTGACATTTCGGTTTCTCAGTGGGTTGTTTAAATCTTCATCAACAATTTTAAGTCACTTTTTGGTTTATTCCCAATATAAATCTATCCATTTAATACCAATTTCCACATTAATTAGCTGTAATTTGTCATTTAGGTTTCTCAATTCCATCGATTAATCGAAAAGTCAAAAGTCGACTTACGTATCCCTATTATTGTGGGCACCAGCCACACACGGATTTCGTTCGTGCGAAATGACAACTAAACTCTTATTTTGCTTTGTAGCCATGAGGTTCGCAACCCCTGTAATATTTTAGAAAAAATAAGAAGCCCTATTAAAATATTAGCTCTTCACCCCACCCTATTACATCATTTTAAACTAAGTGAAAAAAGACTTTTTTTCTCATTTCGATATGGACATGATTTACTTCTTTCAGTAGATTGGAGTTTATAAAATGCAAAGGTGTATGTGGAGGCACATGCCGTTACCCACACATACATATGACGGAGTGAATGAAAACCTCATATAGGGATTACGTGATGGTGAATAAAATTTTTCATGAACAATTTAAGCCAATGGAGTTAAGGTTTATATAACAACAACAATTCGGTTCTCTCTCTTTGAACTTTCACTGAATAGTAGGCCAAGCATGCATGGATGTGTTACAAAAAAATTACAAACTTTTTTCGCCTTTGTTATGCGGTAACTTCTCTGCTTGATTATTTTGTGGGAGATGTGGATGAGGGTAATAAAGCCCCCCCCCCATCACCCTGCCCACTCCGACCAACATCAGCATTGGCAAACCATGATCCCCATTGTAGCCAAAGAGGAAAAAATAAACCCCGAACCACATTTAAATAAAAGTGAGCGGAAGTTTGTCTTGTGGCTGGGGGCAGAGGATGCGGTGTGTGTGTGGCCAGGGGTTGCAAGTGTTGGAATGACATGCAAAATGGGACATGTATTTTTAAAGAGGCCCAACATTGGCAACATCGAGGCAAATGAATGGCTTGGGATCGCCGCTACTAAATATTGCAAAAAACTGCAAGACTCCATGCCGCAGACATTTGCCTATGACGATGAGAATGACGTCGGTCGGAGTCTTGCACTCGGGAACAAGAATAACTAGTTGACTTAGGATTTTCTTACTTTTTCTCTTCTACCGGAGTTCATATAATTTATGCAAAACGTTTTACAACTGCAATCTACTCGACAAACACGTTAGGGGTTCTCGACACAAAATTGCTGCAACAGTTCACCTTACTAATGTCGTTGGCAAAAGCAACAGCAACTGCAAAAAATGAAAATGGATGGAAGGATATATGGATGAGTGAATAAGTAAGTAGCTATGGTACTTAAACATCAACTTGGGTGCAAACCGAGCACCGAAACGACGAAAGAAATCCTTCAGAGATACAAAGGGGCTACGTGCCAAGGCGAGAGGTGTTGCAGCTAAGTTTTCGAGTATTATTGGCTAAATTTGGTTATTTTTTTCTTAGCGTGAGTTTGCTGTTGTTGTTGCAAACAGTTTTGTTACATAAATTTCTTGTTAATTTTGCTGCATCTAGATTTGGGCAGAATTTTTTTCTTCTTCTTTGACAAAAGCCATAAATTACGACAAATTGGAATTAAATAGAGAGAGGAGAGAGAGAGTGAAGGCAACAAAAGTAGAAACCGTTCCAAGGGAGTGTGGCCAGTAATTCAATGGTGCATTGTAATTGCAGTTATATTTAAATATTTGCATAATAACAATTTAAGGATACTAGACAAATTGGAGGTTTAATTTGAGACTAGAAAAATATTATTTGGAAAAATAATCATATTTTTGAATTTCTTCTACAATATGGAAACCCGTATCAGATGTATTGAGACAAAAAAAGAGATTTTGTTTTTGAACATTCAAATAAATAACTTAAAACGACTTTAGGTTCGCCTTGCTCGAACTTATTATAAAAGTCATATCGAACACAGCAGTATGAATTTCTACAACAACTACAACAACGAAGCACTAACATATAAAGACTAGATTATTATTTCGGGGCAGATCCAAGAGTGCCAAAAGTGCGTGATTCTCTCCACACACAATCAGAATCATTTACAAACAGTGTTATCAGAGGGTAAGAAATTTGGGAGAATATAAACACCTTCTGCCCGACCCTGATTTAGGGTAAAATAGGGATTTGACCATGGCGCAATTATTAGGTTCCCCATCCAAGCCAGCTGACTACACAAATTCAATTTTAAAATGCAGTTTTGTGATTGAAATCAGATCAAAGAGAAACATTAGTCAAAAGTGTAAACATTGAAATTTAATCTGGGTTTGGAAATTTGCAAGTACACCTTGTTATTGCGTAATGGATTCGACAATACATTCACTCACTTTCTACCAAATTTCAGCATCTTACTTTTACGATTTCGTTAAATTGCTATATTTGCCATTTGAATATGTTATTTAATTAAAGCCTAATACTGCACACAAACATCGTCACATGTACCTGATCAATACGTCTAAACACTGTTTACCTTTAATTAATGTTTACATAAACTACTGAAATTCATAACTTTTCCAATTTAATTGAATTTTGATCCAATATTATGGCCTTAATGAATTTACAATTACCTTCACAGCGAGGCTTACTTGGCGCTTCATCTTTTTTTCGAAAACAACAAATAAATCCAGGGGACTTAACGGAAAATGACGTCATTGCATATTTATGACAATGTTTTAATGAAAAAAGAGACAACAAACAACAACACTCACACTCTTTTTTTCCACAACGGGAATTTCAACACAACTCTCGAGGCTGGCTAGATGACAATCTAATTATAGAAAAAAAAACGAAACAACCGCTGAGCGTTTAAGCCAACACGTAAAATATGAAAAAAAATCTATTATTAATAAATGCCGCTTACAATGGCCGATTGGCGGCAAACGATAAAAACAATAACAATTTTCCTTGTAATCGTAATCTGTAACAACATCATTATGGATGACATCGTTTTTATGGCCAACGAATGAACGGGCGAGTAAGAGAGAGAGAGAGAGAGCGAATGCAAAAATGATAGCAAGCACTGGCAAAGTTGCGAACAGAAAAAAACATATAGCAAGCACAAAAACAAATTCAATCAGAGGATAAGAGATTTTAATCGCCGGATAATAGTATTACAGAAATTAATGAAACGCTGGATGGCAGGGAGAAAAGGCAAGCTACTGGAAGAGGACCTCTCAGCAAACTCTGTTATGATTTGGATATGTTTGCTTTATTGATATAAATTACAAGTGGCGGATATAATTTATTGCACGTAATTAAATCATATTTTTGTATTGTACATATTATTAATTTGACACCATCGCAAACAATACCATGCAATTGCTATTTTTATGTGCCATTGATAAATGTTTAAAATATGCAAATATTTATCATGCAAATTCCAGCTGATGAATAAAATATATACTTTATGATATTAAATATATTAATATACGATAAGTGTTAGCGGGAGAATCAAATTCTAGAACTTGTTTGTTCGTTTGTCAGTTTAATTCTAATTTTATTGAACAAAATGTATTACTTAAGTGCTAGTACACAACAGAAATCTTAGGGGGGTTTAATCTTATGCATCTACTTAAGGCTACAAACACTTGACATTTCTAATTCTATGCATAGGCCTAATGCAACACACAATTGCTGTGATCTATATTTACTCCCCAGCTGAGCGCATGTTTATGGGAGAATATTCTTTATTATCAATGCGTCTCCAGCAGCATGAAGTGTTATCATCCCTTATGCTCTTATCTTTCATGCACACACATTTACAAGTACTCTAGAATGTTGGGTTAAAAATACATAAACATTTTATAGCCTAAATCACTTAACGATCTAATTTATTGCAGCAGTCTTTCATGTTCATAGTTTTATGAACATTTTCCCGGGCGGCAAATAATTTATTTAGACATCCTGGCCTCGGGGAAATTGAATTTCGGTTATGCGTTTTAATTTTTTCTGTCTTCTTATAAATAAAATAATTAGAATTATTATTACTATAATTACTAAAATAAAAGCTACGTGTGATGAGATGTGATGGAACTTCAAGCCTCGCAATTCCACATTTTCTTTCTTTAACTTGTCCACGAATTTCTTTAGCTCGTCAATTTCTTGATGATGATTGATAAGTATATTTCCAAGGGGTTTGATTGATTCTTTTTCGTCCGGACTTACATCCTTCAAAAGAAACGAATGGAATTCTGTGCTTATCTCGTTATGAACTCTATGCACAGCTACCAACGTTACTTTACCGATCCTCGCTGTACAGTCTGCATCCAGCGTGAGAATTCCTTGCTTTGGAAGTTCCATAATCCAATATTTTCGTCTTAGTATATTTTCCATAAGTCGATTTCCTCCATGCATCGTTTGAATATGACAATTTCGAATGATATTTCCCGCTAATCTTGACTTTTGAATAATTATTGGATGCTTTTGGTTATAGTTCAGCTCTGACAAAGCAAGTCTTCCACCAACCCGCATTATGCCATTTCGATCCAACTGTGGATGTAGTGAAGCTATTTTACTTTGATGATCCACCGTTCCCAATGTCTTCAATTTCCTTAGTTCCACTGGCCATTCTCTTTCTTGATGTAGTTTTATTATCTCCATCTCTGCTTCTTCCAACTCTTTTGCCGTCAAATGCTCATTTACTGCTCGCTTCTTTTTTAGCCCTTTTATAAAACGCAGTAGATAAGCCATTACACGTATCTGTTTCTTAAATGACGAATACTTCATCATACTTTCATATAAGTGGTTTTCAGTCGAAAACTTTACTGTTGTTGCTACTGTTTGATTTATGTTGCTTTTTGGCCAATCTTGTTCATCTTTTTTCAGCCATTCGGGGCCTTCCCACCACAATGTATTGTTTGTCAAAGTCTCCGGTGGGACACCCCTTGAACCCATATCTGCTGGATTCTCCTTTGACTTGACGTAGCCCCATTTCGCTTCGGGTATTCTCTCCAAAATATCCATCACCCTTGTTTTTATGAACTTATCCTTGTTTTTGGAGTTGTGAATCCATGCCAAGGAAATCATGGAATCACTCCAAGCAAAAGTTGGTGTTGCTGACTTCAATACTCCTTTGATCTTCTGTAGTAGTTTAGCCAATAGATGTGTTGCACAAAGTTCCAGCTTTGGAAGCGTCTTCCTATTTTTTACTGGATTTACCTTACTTTTTGCAGCCACTATGGTCACCTGCGAATTTACCTTAAGGTATACGACTGCTGCATAAGCCTTCTCGGAAGCATCTGCAAACCCATGTAACTGTGCAGTTTTGTCTTCCAATATTCCAAACCATCTTGGAATCCTTAAATTTTCTAAAGCAGGCAGACTGTATGTAAACTGCCGCCAATCTCCACTCAATTTCTCCTCCAATGGCACATCCCATTCTATTTGTTGTATCCATAACTGCTGTATAAATAGTTTTGCTGTTACCGTGACTGGCGTCAGCCAACCTAATGGATCGAATATTTGTGCCAGTCTTGACAATGCTATTCGTTTTGTCAACTTGTCTTCTTTTTTAATTTGCATACTAAATGTAAAGCAATCGATCTGTGGATTCCATTGTAATCCCAATGTTTTCAAGCATTCATCTTCTTCTATTCTCAGCACTTCATTTTCTTCATTCAATTTCACCGCACTCAATACTTCAGGAGAGTTTGATATCCATTTTCTTAAATGAAACCCATAATCCTCCAGTTGCAGCGTTATCTTCTTCTGCACCTCCCTGCATTCTTGTTTTGTATTCGCTCCTGTTAAAAGGTCGTCCATGTAGAAATCTTCTTTGATCCTCTGAGCGATTTCTTGATTCTGGCACCTATTTCCAATTTCTATGAGCGATCTTACAGCCAGAAATGGTGCTGATGCAGTGCCATATGTTACCGTAGTAAGTTTATATTGTTGGATAGGCTCCGACGGATTACTCCTCCACAACACATGTTGGTATTCCTGGTCTTCTTTTTCAACTTTAATCTGACGAAACATTTTCTCCACATCAGCTGAGATGACAAACTTCCACGATCTCCACTTTGTTACAATGTCAAATATATCTTTTTGAAGCCTTGGTCCCACGTGAAGTATGTCATTCAGCGACTTCCCATTTGAAGTTGTCGATGAAGCATCAAATACCACTCTAACTTTTGTGGTTAGACTTGTTTCACGTACCACTGCTTGGTGCGGCATATAATACAAAGCCTTCTTACTTGGATCCACCTTTACCATTTGGCCCATGGATATGAGCTCGTTCATTGTTTTCTCGTACTCTGACTTTAATTCCGCATTATTTTCTAATCTTTTTTCCAAGTTTATAAACCTCGCCATGGCTCTTTTATATGAATCTCCCAAATCTTTTTCTTCAATTAACGGCAAACGCACGACAAATCTTCCTGAATTGTCTCGGCGTGTTGTGTCTTCATATAACTTAAGGCAGTATTCGTCTTCTTCGGTCGTTTTTTTCATCTTCTATTTCCTCTATTTCCCAGAACCTCTCAATTGTTGTTGTTGCTGCCGATTTCTTTATGTTCAATCCAGGATTTACTACTACTGTTCCAGATAAAATCCAACCCAACTTCGTATTTTGTCCCACAATTTGCTCATCGTGGCGAACTCCTTCTTCCAATATTTGTGAGTAAAGATCGGCTCCAATGACTAAATCGATTCTTTCCGGGCTGTTGAAATTTGGATCTGCCAAATTTACATTTCTCCATTTATCCACGTCATATTGAAACCTTCTGTCGGGATGTGCTGATGCAAGTGCTGGAAGGACTAGTGCTTCTGCCTTAATCATTTTGTTGCTCAAAAATCTGGGTCGTAGTTCCAGTGCAACTTTAGATTTCGCCACGCCAACTAGGGTCTCTCCTAGACCTTGTAACCTCACTTCTGTCTTCTTCCTTGGTAGCTGCAACAGTTGAGCCGCGTCCTCTGATATGGATGTAATTTGTGATCCTTGGTCTATCAGCGCTTTGACTGTTACAAATTCTCCATGCAGTGATTTTATACGAACTTGGGCTGTTGCTAGCAGAACATTTGTTGTTGTATTGGTGGTCATTGCTTTCGTATGTCCTCTTCGCTCTAAATGCATCACTGTGATGTGATTCATTCCACACTTCTGGCATTTAATTTCATTGTAACATTTTTTATCCTTGTTGTGGCTTAAGCATCTGAGGCAGACCTGTGCTGATCTTGCCCAATTGTATCTTTCATTCGAAGATAACGCCGAAAATTTTCTGCACCATGCGATATCATGTCCGCTCATTTTACAGAACTTACATTGTTTTAATTCCGCTACCACTGCTGATTTTTCTTGGAGTTTGTACAGTCCTATGTTATTGTGTTTTCTGCCTACTGAAGCTTCCAAGGCTTGAAACTGCTGCTCCAGGAAGTCCATCACATCCTCAAGTTTTTGGATGTCCTTGGATTTCTTTACATTCTGCTCATAAAGAATAAGCCCATCCTTATCCAGTTTCCGTATAATTATTCGGGCTAAAATGGGATCCGCTTGCTCTAGGGGAATATCCATTGCTTTCAACGCCTGAATACTTTCATTTACATTGTCCAGCAAATTTCTTATGCTTATTGCTGACAGGCTGTTGATGTTTTGATGGTCCAGTATTCTATCTACCAATTTAGTGAATAAAATTCTCCTGTTGCCATATCTTTTTTCCAGTAATTCCCATGCTGCTTCATAATTTGCCTCGGTCACTTGAAGATGTTGCACCAAGCGAAATGCCTCTCCTTTTAGATTTGTCTTGAGGTAGTACAGTTTTTGAACTTTTGATAATTTGGAGTTTTCATCAATCATCTTTTTAAATAAATCGTGAAATGAACTCCACTCTTCCACATGACCACTAAAGGATGGTATTTGAACTCTTTTTAGTTCTACTTCCAGTGACTCCTCTTTAAGACCATCTATCCTTCTTATCATATCCTGCATTTTGCTCTCAAACTTTTCTTCAATTTCTTCAAATTCGAGATCTACCTCTTCCATTCCATGCACCGTTGAGAGCTCGAGATGCAATTTCCTAATTTCATCCATATGCTTCTCCCACGATGACTTCATGTACTCCAAAGCATATTTTGATAGTCCAGCTAAATCGCTTTCAACGGCATCGGCGAGTTTGTTTACTTTTTTCCTGAATTGGTAGATGATTGCGCTTACTTTTATATTCGCCTGATTGCCCATTGGTGATGATTCTATATGGGTTTGTCTTTCTTCCTCATTTTCTCTTTTATTCTTCTCGAACATCAACATAAATTGTTGCATTTGTTGTTGCATCTGTTGTTGCATTTCCTCTTGGAAGGCCTTTAACTGTTGATCGAGCATTAGCCCATGCACTTCGGGCTCTGCTTCTTTTATTACCCTTTGCGGTTCTCGCTCGACCTCTTCTTCCAAACTCGCTAGGAGTTCCTTTGCTTTTCCATAGTTCAAGTTGATGAGATCCCAAACATTTTCTTTGAAATAGGGATCAGTGTTTTCGCCATGCACTCTCAGCATTTCGTGGTTCGTAGTGGCTTCCTTCATTTTGCTTTCCAGGGATCGTAGTGTGTCACCCATGGCTGCTTTCCGAACCATGCCTGCTTGCAGTTTTTCCTTAATCCCAATTACTTCTTTAAGGAGTAGGCTTTGGAGCTTATACAAGTTATGTCTCGACGCCATTTTTCCTTGTTTTGTGAAGCAAGTAAAATTTGTAGTTTTAGCTTCTTTTCTTTTAATGCCCCTGTGGCTTTTTTCAAAATTATTCTGTTTTATTTTTTTGCTTTTGTTGCCCCTATGGCTTTTTTTGATTTTTTTCTTTGCCCCTATGGCTTTTTTTGTTTTTTCTTTGCCCCTATGGCTTTTTTTTTTTGTTTTTTATTTGCCCCTATGGCTTTTTTTTTTGTTTTGCCCCTATGGCTTTTTTTTTTTGTTTTTTTTTTTTTACAAAAATATAATTCTCTTTTTTTTTTTTGAAATATATTTTTGTGGCCGCTGGTTTTTTTTGTCGAAGGACCAATGTTAGCGGGAGAATCAAATTCTAGAACTTGTTTGTTCGTTTGTCAGTTTAATTCTAATTTTATTGAACAAAATGTATTACTTAAGTGCTAGTACACAACAGAAATCTTAGGGGGGTTTAATCTTATGCATCTACTTAAGGCTACAAACACTTGACATTTCTAATTCTATGCATAGGCCTAATGCAACACACAATTGCTGTGATCTATATTTACTCCCCAGCTGAGCGCATGTTTATGGGAGAATATTCTTTATTATCAATGCGTCTCCAGCAGCATGAAGTGTTATCATCCCTTATGCTCTTATCTTTCATGCACACACATTTACAAGTACTCTAGAATGTTGGGTTAAAAATACATAAACATTTTATAGCCTAAATCACTTAACGATCTAATTTATTGCAGCAGTCTTTCATGTTCATAGTTTTATGAACAATAAGTATTTCGCCTGAAAAAAACATTTTACGTATGACTCTAACATTATGTGTAAACTAGTCTTCAATCACACCATCACTGTTGGGTCGCTTCCGTGTTTATATCCCACTAATTTTATTTGTTTAAAAAAAAAAAATCAAAACCATTTCAATTGACACACACGACCAGCTAACGTAAATGTTTCTGACACAAATGCCACTAAAAATATTGTCAGAAATATTTTCAAAGTTATTATTTATAAACAATCACATATGTGTGATATATATATGTATGTGTTCATTCGAATTCAAGTACATTTATTTGTATTGATGTTCATTTCCTGCTGTTTGCAGCCCTTTCATGGTTGAAAGTCTATTTTCACTAGGCTGCTTTGTGTGAGTGAGCGAGCGAGTGTGTTTGTGTCTGTGTGTGTATAACGAAAAGGAAATTATAATTTGCATAACGTTTATTTATGTAGTTGACATGCATATGGGTATGTTTCACTTGGTCGGATGGTTGGCAGCGTTTTGCAGGAAAGCCATTGGTACCAAAGAGGAAAAAAATTGTGAATTTGATTTAATTTTTGAGCAACTGAAATAAAATTGTTGTTGTTGCGAAATATTTCAATTGAGCACGAAAAAAAATCCTCTTAAAATATTAAGCATACTTTTGAGCATAGTTAAATTTCCAAAAAAAGAGAAAAAAAACTACTGCATACTTTGTGGATGTGAAAATGATGATAGCTGTTTGCCCGAACTATGGCTGCCAACAGTTTTGCTGTATTACGTTTGAGAAATAAATCTGTCACATCTAGAACTTTTTTTATACCCTCAGCCATATGGCTACAGAGGGTATATATCATTTGATACGGCCAAAACGTGCCTAGTCGAAATAACGGTTTTAGACCCTAGGTCTCTTTGGACCAAATCCGTTTCAGAACATTTGGAGTCGATCTAGCGATGTCCGTCCGTCCGTCCGTCCGTCCGTCTGTCTGTCTGTCTGTCTGTCTGGCTGGCTGGTGCGCACGATAACTCTCGAAGGGAGTATCCAATTTGGTCCAAACTTGGTACATCGTAATATTTTTATCAAACTTAGATCGAGTTCGGAGATGGGCAATATCGGTCCACTCCTTCTGGTACCTCCCCCACAAAAGTTCGAAATTTTCAAAAAATTTAATTTTTGCACAGAAAGAGAAATTATAGTCCGATTTTGCTCCAACTTTGCAAATCTTAATATTTGCGTCAGTGTGAGGTCGGGTGTGAAAATGGAAAATATCGGCCCACTCCATCAAGTACCTCCCCCACAAATGGTAAAAATTTTGAATAATTACAACTCTCATAAAATGTGATGTAAGTGTCCGATTGTCTTAAAATTTTACACATCCCAATATTTACATTAACCCAAGGTCTGGTGTTAAGATGGAATATATCGGTCCACTCCTTCTGGTACCTCCCCCACAAAAGGTCGAAATTTTCAAAAAAAAAAAAAATATTTTTTTTTTGCACAGAAAGAGAAAGAATAATTCGATTATTCTGCTACTTTGCAAATCCTAATATTTGCACCATTGCTAGGTCTGGTGCGAAAATGGAGAATATCGGTCCACTCCTTCTGGTACCTCCCCCACAAAGGGTCAAAACTTTAAATAATCACAATTCTCATAAAATGTGATGTAAGAGTCTGATTGTTTTGAAATTTCACACATCCCAATATTTATATTAACCCAAGATCTGATGTTAAGATGGAATATATCGGTCCACTCCTTCTGGTACCTCCCCCACAAAAGGTCGAAATTTGCAAAAAATATATTTTTTGCACAAAAAGAGAAAGGATAATCCGATTTTGCTCTCACTTTGCAAATCCTAATATTTGCATTAGTTCTACGTTAGGTGTAAAAATGGACAATATCGGTTCACTCCTTCAATTACGTCCCCCACAAATGGTCAAAATTTTGAATAATTACAACTCTCATAAAATGTGATGTATGAGTCCGATTGTCTTCGAATGGCGCACATCCCAATATTTATATTAACCCAAGCTCTGGTGTTAAGATGAAG